TAAAGATAAAGATAAAGATAAAGATAAAGATAAAGATAAAGATAAAGGTAAAGATAAATATAACGATAAAGACAGGGAGAGAGAAAAATATGATGTAAAGATAGATATAAATATAAATATATATATAGATATAGATATATAGATATAGATATAGATATAGATATAGATATAGATATAGATATATGTAGATATAGATATAAATATAGATATAGATATAGATATAGATATAGATATAGATATAGATAGATATAGATATAGACAGGGGCAGATAAAATTATAAGGAGACAAAGATAAAGATAAAACTGAAAATTAAGATATGTTATGTCATGATGTTATGTTGCCCACCTCACTTAAACACAATCGTTTTTACCTCATATCACCTGAACTCAACACACCTCACTTCACCTAATATACACGCTCGTCCAATATTTTCAAGAATATCAAATGTTTGATTTCAACCAAAAACCGAAAACTTTAATATTTATTTCGAACAATTTTTAATAAAAAAATTTCAAAATTTTTTTCTTTTCTTAAATATGGTAATACCGTTAACCAAAAACCGAAGCACCGTTTATAAAAGTAAATATTGGTTTCGAAAAATTTCCTACTTTTTTTCTTTTCTTAAATGGTAATACCGTGTTCTTTTTACAAAATATATATAGCGAAAGACATAAATTATCCATGTTTTTATATATATTTTTAGGGTTCTTATTGAATAAAAACAATTTTTAACAAAAAAAAAATGCCCAATTATTTTTCTTTTCTTAAATTTGCTAACACCATTATTTAAAAAGTATTGCATATAACATAAGTTATCCATGTTTTTATATATATTTTTTGGATGGTTATTGTCTAAAACAAAAATTCAGTTTTTTTTTGTAATTCCCGAACCGTTGAACAATAGAAAAAATTCTTGAATATTGCGCTAAGTAAAGTAATTATGCAAAAAAATAAAAGTTTCCATGGACAAAAATTAAAACTTCCTTTGATTTTTTTTAAATATTTTCCAACAGATTAATAAAATGTAATCATTTAAAAAGAGATTACTACCGAAATAGAGAAAATTGGGGCATATTTAAATTCTTGTCGTTTTCCTCTTTTCAATGGAATGACCCTAATAATAATAAGTGAGCATCAGATCAAGGTGCAGGGATGCTGTCGAGAGTACTAACTTTATTTTGAGCCTAAGGAAGGTCCTATCACAATTTGCTTTTTTGCCAGAGCTTCTCAAATATTGCAAAAACGCGATTTTTTGACACTTTGACCTCGTTTTTCTCCAAATCTAGAGCTAATGAAAACTTTATACGATTACGAATTCGTAATCAGCATAAAAAAGTCGATCAAAAATGGTTTTAACATTTGCCGTAACAAAGTTTGTCATCCATTTTTGTTGGCCTGTGTTATCATATTGCCAATGTCAACTTCAAAGAATTTTTATAAGGGCGCACTAAACATATTTATCTTTATATGTATGTACGTAAACAACAGTCAATACATACACACATACAAACAAATGCGACAATTTGCGTCATTGCAAAATCGCGTTTTTTCTATAGCGCTGACGCTAAGCTATTCGAATTTGTTGGATAAAAACATGTCGAAAATAAATAAAATAGTATTCCATTTATTTACTTGTACATATGTATATGTATATAAATGGCTGAGTAAGCAGAAAAAAATTATAATAATGATCGAATGTAGGCAAGGAAATGCAGTAAATTGTGCTAGAAAATTCAATTTGATGGCACATCATGAAACAGGCTAATAAACATTCAAATCTTGAAAAGAAAATTGAAATATGTAGATATACTTAAATACATTTTTAAATAAAATCAAACAATTACGCATGTATGTATGTATGTATGCCTTCAATGCCTTCAGTTTTGTATAAATAACCAGATCCCAACGCGAAATTGTATTTAAATGAAAGCCTAAAAATATATACATACATATGTACCAAAACAAGTAAAAATAATTACTCATGTTCAAATACTTGCGTATATAACGTATACGTCCCGTAGCACCATATGCAGTCATCTAACACTCTTACACTCTTAAAACTTCACAGATATGTTTTATTTGAGGCCAACGTTGTCCATTGGTTCTAATATGAACATTCTATTTGAAAACTTCCAAAGTTATTAAAAAACAATAATTATGATTTTTTCGAGTGGCAATGCAAAATTAGTAATTTCAGTACCTTTTCGCCTCAATAAACGTTTTAAGGCTAAAATTGTTCAAATACTTGATTTATTTTCTATTGTAATTGTTTCTGGAACTATATTGATTGAAAAAAAAAATCCGAAGTGTCCTAGCGTTTTTTTTTCTGCCGAAGAAGGGAATGGCACTAAAAAAAACGACTCGTGATATTTGCTCATATATATCTGTGTTCATATGGAAAAGTAGCTTATGTCGAAAGGCTGGCTTTAGTATAAATCGGCATTCGCAGCATACTCACTGGCGCTGAGCCGTTGAAGAACTTTTGGCAAATAAACGTGCAAAAAGTAGTTCCGATACTAGCAAGTCAATATTCTTATTAAGTCTCATCAAAGATCGTTTAAAGAATATAGGGAATGCCGCATTATACTAAAGCCATCCTTTCGAAATAAGCTACTTTTCCATATGAACACAGATATATAGGGTGTTAGCAACTGCTGGGAATTTACATACCCTTCAGGGTGCATTGTATTGAAATACATATTTAAATTTGAAAAGGTAGGAAAATAAATACATATATATTTTTTTTAACTTGCGCTTGTTTTACTAGAATTTAAAAACCAATCTATCTGCGTACACAAAATTTTTCCAAAAATTCTGATTAAAATGTTCAAAATTTAGACGAAATTTTGTAAGTTCTATAAAGTTTGAAAGCTTCACTTACGTAGCTTCGATTAAAGCATGAACCATATTTTTATAAAAGAAAATAACAAAAAAATTTTAACTTGAAAAATATTGCAAATATTAAACAAACGTACATATGTATGTACGTAGTAAGAGCGTCCGAAGGCCAACATTTAGGCGCCCTAAATTAGCTATAGATGCTATGTATGTTGTATTGTGGAACGATTTTCCGTCATCTCTTGTCATATTTGGTTTGGAAACAAACCGGTTTCGGCGTTGTGCCATCTTCAGGGTCATCTTTCGTATTTACGAAAATAATTTTAATTGTGTTTAATGGGTGACAATGGCGGCTAAACTTATCTAAATACATTTTATGATCCAAATCCTACTTTCGTACTGAAAAAAGTGTATACGCGTAGAATGTCCGTAACGCAGGAGGTGCCCATGCAAATTTTGAAAATCATGATACAATTCTACAATTTCGATGCTACATTGCATACATACATGCAATCGATTTTCGCACAAGTTGTAGCTTTCGTCGCTGCAGTATTCACCTAATATATTTGGCTAAACCCATCTAAACTACACAACTAAAAGTCGGCGACAAAGTGCAGCGACACAACAGCATTGCGTAACACTGAGGATGCAGCGAAGTTAAAAGGAAGATTGCATTGGAGAGAAGGTGCTGGCTGACAAGAGTCGGGAATCGGCGCATCGCGTACGACAGCTGAATATGAAACCGTTTTCCCGATTTTTGGTGGTTTGCGATGCCAGCTAGCAGCAGCAGTAAGAGT